TTTTCAAAATATTTTCCATTGAGATATATGTATATACCTCTACACTTTTGCATATGTTTGAACCAATTGTAGAAGCACTTTTGCTACTCTGATTGAAGTAATTTCTAAACATGCATTTTGAACGCATCAACCGCTTCTTCAGGTGTCAAAAAACGTTGATCGCTTTGTTTATTTTTTCCGAATGGGAAAAARGTTATTCGGTATCAAGTCAGACGGAGGATGACTCATCAAAACGATGTTTTGAGCGTTCAAAAATCAATTGTTTCAGTCGAGGTGATCAAATACGATAAAGTTGTGAGTTGCCATATTGCAACACCAGAGTTGCCAAATACCGAAATATAAAAGGTAATTTTGCAACCAGTGAGAAAGTAGAAACTTTAACGAACATAAAGCCGAATGACTTAATTAAAAAAAAAAAAAAACAAATCGACATTTTCACTTGAGATATTTTCATTGAGAATTAGGTTTTTTTTTCGATATTATGTCCATATTAGGAGTAAAAATAAATGTTTTATAAATATAAAATACAGTGTGTTTAAACATAAGAAATTACCACCAATTTTCATGAAAGAAATTTTTTGCTTGTTTTTTCATTATCTACAACATTCCTATATAAGTTTTTTCTATAGGACTGGTAGCTTTGCCGGGAATCGAAATAAACTATTCTTAAACCTTCAAAAAGTTTTACCATTTTTAGAAACTTTTGCATAATCTATAATAGTTTAGTTATAGTACTGAGGAGTTTGTTGAAAAATCTCTTAAGTCTGTCCGTATAGTATTTACTATAAAAATATCTATTACCTTTTTAAACAAAATCTGTTTAGCATTTCTTAGAGTGAGAAGTGGTTCATTCAAAAGGGGGCTTTGTCCTGATTTTTAGATCTCACGAGATTCYTCCCTCTTCCTGGTTACCTACGTTTCCAATTTCTCTTCTTCACAAATGTACAAATCGTATTTAAAATACTTTGCAGTGTTATTATTAGTACATTTGTGAAGTATAGTATGCTTTGTTAGAAAGGCTTAATCAAAATGTTTCTCATACYAAACACTCATTCATCTTACATAGTACTTTTGGCACGGCGTAAAACTTTAGGAAGATCGAAAGAAACTGACCTAATTGTACGTGTAGGTGATCGCAATTCAATTTTTATTTACTTTCCACGCACTTCATTTGTCTTTATGATTAAACTTGTAATGATTACTACATATAATTTTACCTATTTGGCGTTTGTTAAAGAGCCATCTGGTCCCGTTTAAAACATRAAGTGCACTTGCTCTCCTAAAGCCAGGTTAGAGTAAGCATTTGTTGTTTGAAGATTTCAACAAAACGGTATTAGTTATACGAGTAATAGGTATAAAATCGCCTATGCATGTTCCTCATTTGTACAACAATATTCTTATACATAACGTATAACATTATTAATATTTTATGTATACAATATACACTTAATTTATAAATCAAACTTGAAGCACTAAAACGGACTTATTGATTTTTCGGTAAATGAAGCAACGCAGTTTGTACAGCCCAAATAGTAGAAATGACATAATTGAAAGTAATGCAAAGCAAGTAATAATAGTTATTAGCGACGTCTCTGGTTGGGCCCAATCTAAAATCGTATATATGTAATGGTCTCCGTGTCTGAAATTCAGAAAAAATTTTTTAGTTTTTTGTATACAATCTATATATTTACACATATATAAAAATGTCTGTATGTTCCGGGTAGACTCCGAAACGGCTGGACCAATCAATGAAACTTTCAGCAAATCTTTAGATTGACCTGACGAGTAATCCTGTAAAGTTCGGCCACGATCGGAGCACTTTTTTTGAACTGTCATATACAGTTTATATTTACTATGTTGATATTCTTTTGTTTTATAACCCAAATTTGTGTTGACACATGCGTTGTGGATATGTATGTCAATATGAAACATATTTAAGTACAATGGAGTGTATCGGAAAATTGTATTTTTCTTCACCAATCATGTTTTTTCACAGAATTATTGTAATAAATTAAAAATGGCATCCAAAAAGGCAAGTATTGGTAAAAAAAAAACCTTCAAATCAAAAAATGTCAAGGAGCTACCGAGACAATCCAAAAACGTACGCAAAGACTTGATGCCAACCGAATAGCTCAATTACGAAAATAAATAGATTTAAGTCTTTCGGCGTTCAATTACAATAAGGATGATGATTACAGAAATCACAAGGACGTAGTGGTCGGTGCAATGAACAAAGTTTGTACACATTGTGGTGCTTTGAAGTTCGCTAAAGAATCCCCTGGAATGTGCTGTTCCAACGGTAAAGTAGTTTTGTCACCATTGACGAAGCCACCTGAGCCGCTTCTTCCACTTCCAAACTTTTTTTTCAATATATATAGATATGAAGTTCAATTGAATAATCATTAAAAAGTAAATAAATAGAAGTATTATCACCCTGGAAATGTCATATCATTAATTTTAAATCATAAATCGATGTTAATTTTTTCTAGTATTTAAAAAAGAGTTGCTGGCTTAATTTCAAACATCATTGGCTTGAGAGCATCTGGAAATACCAAATATTTTATGTTTACTGTCGAAGGAAATCATGTAGACTACTTGATGATGTTGAGACATTACTCTGAATTCTTTATTTTTAAATTTCATGAACATAAGGTCATTATAATTATTCCTTATTTGTAATCAACATTAATAGTTTAAAARTACCTATTATTTCATAAGTATTTAATAATGTTCTGCATTAACTTGAGCATGATATGCTTTTGTATCAATGATAAGAACGTATTCTATTTACTAACATGTATATGGGTTACCTACACCCATATAATTTTCACCCGTTAGAAAAGAGAATAGAAGAAAATGAATATGAAGATAATTGAATAATTTAATATAATTAAAAAAAAAAAAAAATCTAGACCGGCGAAGCGGGCTGTGTACGCTAGTATAAAATAAAAATGTTTTATTTATTTAACTGCCTGTGCTATGCCCAGAAAATACCAGCAATTTCCAGCTAATGGAAGTGTGGAAAGAACTCTATGTTTGAAGGTTAATTATGCGCTCTAAAGTAATTTTGCTTGAACAAAGATTTTTGGAAATAACATTTTTAATCTAACGTTTACAGACTTTTTTCTTTTTAAAAGTAATGTAAATCTTACTTCTATTTAGAGATTTTTAGATGAAATGAAATTAATCAGTGTTAAAAAAAGTCTCATTAATTTCTTCATACATTGAGTGCAAATTAAAAGTCACTTATGGGGTTAAGAACACCATAATCATGGTGTATTTTTTATTTATTTATGACATAATTTTTTGATTCATTTACTGTATAGAGTTTTTACAAAAAATAGTTTCCTTGCTCTTTAGGATGGCAGATTTTAATGTCGAAATATTTTAATAAGAAGAGACGAACGCTCAGGCCAGCATTCGGCTATCAACTCGTCTCGTTATTCCAATAATTTTGATTTATTTAATCCTATATTTACCTCGATTAGTATTATATGTTCGAGATACCGAATACTCTAATAATGTCAAGACAATCTTTCATGTGCGGTATGTGGGTATGCGAAAGCTCTACGCAGGGTGAGTCTAACATATACCTCCAGGRCCACCGAAACTGTGTGTCATATATTTGATTATCAGCTGATCATAAACATGTAAATTTTTAAAATACTGCAAAAAATATATTTTAAACTTACGTGTCTACGCCTCCGGCAAAATAATAGATAAGAGAAAATATGACATAAATCATGCCCAATCCAATGGGATACACGAAGTGGAGAATGCGTGTGGGAAATGCAACCAACATATGATCTAACACCATCAGAATGGAATTACTGGCATGTCCTAGTAAATTGTAGGTCAACGAAACTCCGCTCTTGTCATCTATTCGATTTAAAAGTACAAAAATCTATTAATAAGTAGTTAGGTCAAGTTTTCGCCAAATTGCGTCTATTTAAGGTACAAAGATWTACTGTTATGAGTAAAACATGTTCTGTAATTTTCATTGAGATAACTCAAATATTGGCCGATATATACAGCATAAAGTCACCAGGAAGTTCGAAAATCTTGATATTAGGTATGTGGGGGCTAAGGAAAATATTAATCCCATTCAACCCATTCTGTCTCTTATACACATCTAGATGTGTATAAGAGACAGGATATATACAGCATAAAGTCACCAGGAAGTTCGAAAATCTTGATATTAGGTATATGCGGACTCAGGAAAGTATGGACTCGATTCAAGCCATTTTTGGTACTATTACTATTGTTAGGAAAGGAATCTGTCTGAATTTCAATTGCATATCTCACGCATTGAGCGATATTTTCGGTCAAAAGTCAGCATTAAGGGAATTATTAATGTAAAATTTTACTTCGTTATATTAATTACATCTTGATTTGTATACTAGAAAGTGGAAGAATCACATGGAATATTAAATTATGTTATATGGGAAGTAAGCGTGGTTGTGTTCCGATTTCGCCCATTTTGACACTGTGACATATGACTGTGAAAAGAATGCTAAGTAATAAATTTTGTCGAAATCGGTTCGGTCGATTCTCTAGATATGGGACTACCTAAGTTTAAGTGAATGAAAACTTCATAAAATTAAATGTGAAACAATTTTCTGCTGATCTATTGTCCACCATGCGGTAGTAGATATTGAAATTGTAGATAAAGAAAACTATGAATGAAATGTTGTCTAATTTAAGCTATTCCTAAGCTGTGGCAATCATTTTGATAAAGAAAGGGGTCATATGTATATATCTATAAAATTTATTAGCTGAAAAATGAAAAAAAAAACTTAACTACGGCGTTTCTGGTGTTACTTACGTGGATAAAGAAGGCTCCAGTAGACAATGGTAATGACGGTCGCCAATACCAAAGTGGTCCAATAAGAAACCCAATAAGTTGTGAACACAATCGGGTGGACAGCTATGAGCAGTTATGGAATTTATTTTTTGCCCGCTTTAAAAAATATTTCACTTACCGAAATCATGTGGTCGCCAATAATATATGCTAACTAAAATAGCGCCATACACACTCGTAAGCATGCACAGAAAGAAACCCCATGCGGTCAGGTAAATAAACCATTTGCCGGCATAGAAAAGATTGATCATTGTGTCGCATACGACGGCAGTGAAAAAGGCTGCTAAGAGCCAGCGATAGATTAGCCACAACAACGAGCGGCTACTCTTCTGCCACTGCAAATAGAATGGAAGAGTTAGTTTTACCGCTATTAAAAATATTTTATATCTCAAGTGTCGACTTGCAAACAACTTACTTGGGATTTTGCAAAATCATCGATTGGTTCATGTTTCAAGCTGAACTTTTGTAATTGAAACTCCTTGGCGAGCGGATGGCAAAAGTTCGTGCACCATTTTTGCGTAGAATCAAACATTTGTTCCAATTTGACCCTGTATTTTCATTGAAAATATTATTTTGCTAGTTCAAATATTTTTTCCGCTTATTGTTATCATTATTTGGTAAAATGCTTACTCGCAGAGACCTGCCTCCTATTTCAATCACTACTTAATTGGTACTATTTATTTTGGGAAAAATGTTGAAAAAGTTTAGACTCAATAGTTTTACCATTTTTTTACCAATTGTATTTGCACATAAAACCAAAACTTGGTTATAAACATTCAAACAGCGGTATTACGGTACAAACGCGATTATATAATATCTATTTTATCGATACTATCGATACAAAGGTCGGTCTTTATTTACTAAACACATTTCTACATACATACATGTACGTATGGTAGAGACAACTTAGTACATAGCGCTGATAAGACCACATAAAAAATGTGCATAAATCATATTTTGAACGTTGTCATGCTTTATCTTTAAGGCCACTCGAGTAGCGTTTTGGTGTAAACATTCGTTTTCTCTACTTCTTTAAAAAAGCGATAAAACATACATATACATATATTTGCGCTCATAATTGAGTAAATGTTGTCTTTTAGGTATGTAGTATATCAGAGTTGTCTAATTCACTTCGTAACTAAGAAAAGCCTTAATTGTTATATGAGTCTAAAAATCAAGAGCTGTTCCGCTACAATGTATGAGTTCCTCRCATTTTTAAAATTTCTAACCTCCTCTAGTCCCGCCACCCAATGTACTTTTGTTCTTCGTTAGTTTCTGTCATATCATCATAACAACCCCGCGGCTATTTTTATACTCKCGCAACAAAGTTGCTAAAGAGAGTATTATAGTTTTGTTCAGATAACGGTTGTTTGTAAGTCCTAAAACTAAAAGAGT